GCCAAAGTCAAATCCTATTGACAAGGCTTCAGCGATCCGCTACAACTGTCAGCGCAAAGGTCACTTTACGAGTGAATGCAGGTTGAAGAAAACTGCGACGCCATCTTCCAAAATCCCATCCTCCTTCAAGCCCAAAGATGACAAATATCAAAAGCTGAAGGAGAAGTACAGAAAGATGAAGAGTTCTCAGCGAAAGGGCAAAGGTTTTGCCGCTAAAGAACATGATTGGGTTGATTCTTCTGATGAATCATCCCCTGATGAGAAAGACACGACCTATATCTGTCTTATAGCCAAGGATGTCAAGGAAGAATCTTCTGAGACATCAACCTCCTGTGATCCTTCATCCTCCACATCTGCTTTGGAAGTCAAAGACATTTGGTATCTCAATAGTTGATGCTCAAGACACGTGACTGGAGATAAATCCCTGCTCATTGATTACAATGATGAAAGAGGCCCTTTCGTAACCTTTGGAGGAAACAGAAAAGGATATACCAAGGGGTTTGGTGTATTAACCAACGGCGCAAATACTTTCGAACGTGTTGCATATATTGAAGGATTGAAGCACAATCTTCTTAGCATCAGTCAATTGTGTGACAAAGATTTCAAATTAAAATTTTCTAAGAATTCATGCTACGTCTTCGACAAGGATGATAAGGTTTCTCTAACTGGTTCTCGTCTAGAGAATGTATATATCATCAAACATGGATTCTCCTCTTATTGAGAACAGTTGTTTTCTCTCAAAAGCTTCGTCTGACATCAACTGGTTATGGCACAAACAACTTTCTCATCTCAACTTCAAGACACTCGGTGAGTTGTCTCGAAATGATCTCGTCACCGGTCTTCCTCAACACACCTTTGCAAAGAAATCTCTTTGCTCAGCGTGTGAGAAAGAAAAATAAACAAGAGCTAGCTTCAAGTCCAAGCAAATCTCTTCAGTGGCCTCTCCACTTCAGCTATTGCACATGGATCTCTTTGTTCCAGTCAACATACATTCTATAGCTGGAAAGAAATATACACTTGTCATTGTTGATGAGTACTCCAGGTACACTTTGGTCTTCTTTTTCAGATCCAAAAGTGAAGCACCAGAAGAAATTATTTCGTTCATCAAAAGGATAGAGGTACTTGACAACATTAAAGTACGATCTATCAGAAATGACCATGGAACTGAATAACTTAAACTTTTTGTTTAATTGGAAATGGAAAATGAAACATCTTATGACGTCATTTTGTTTTAAATGATAATTTTTTTTCAGACATGCATACCGTTCTTACACACGCGATCCCTTGAAATTCCATCCAATCGTGGATAAGGACGTGCTAACTTTTTCATCATTGCACAACTTTTAAGTCGTATTTTCCTCTATCCTCCTTCCTTTTCTCTCTCCTCTTACCTATAAATGTGAGACCTCTCCTCTCATTCTTGCCTTATGCTTACAAAAACTTTTGTCGAACCTCTGCCTCAAAAATATTTGCAAGCAAGAACTCAAAGAACTCTCAAAACCATCAACCTTCCTATTCTAAAAATCGCAGGTTGATAACTCTTTTTTTCTTATTTTGATATGTTCTTCTTTTAAGAAACTTATGTTATGTTATTTAAGAACTTGTTCTCTTAAACAACTAACATACAGATTATTAACACATTCTTATACTTGGTTATAATCTAAAGTTTCTATACACTTATTCTTCTTGAAAAACCCTGAATTTTCTTTGTGGATTTTTTAAAAGAAGTTTTATCGTTTCAAAACTTAGAGTTTACATTTGTATCTTATATTTCTAACAAACCTGTTATTATCTATTTTCTCTTATATACCACAAAGATGTCTGCCAAAAACGTGAACTTCTCCATTGACGAAGTGTCTTTCAAGCCCAACAACCATTGACGCTTCTAGACATATTCGGCCAATAAATCACACTATGAGGATGCTGTTAGATTCCTCAAGAACTCTCCAATCTTCTTTGCTATCTCACATGAACTTGTCATGGTAAAAGAAGCCCTTCAACAATTCTGGCTTACTGCTGAAGTGGTGTAAGAAACTGACAAGACTGGTAAACCGACGGAGAAAATCTTCTTCATCTTTAACAAGATGACCGTCAGTTTTGGTATAGCCACACTGAGGACCGCTCTCCAACTACCAAGCAGTAAGTATCTCTAATAGCATAAATATAAATATCAATCACAAATTAATTTAGGGTGTAACTTTAACATTAAGGTATTATTTAATCTTTTCGCTTTGAGCATCAACGATATATTCAAGATTTTTGTTGAGTAAGTGTACTTTTAAGGTTATCAAAGGTTCGCAAAGTCATCTAAATCTGATATGTTTTTAATTGAATTTGATGGGATGTTTTTCGATTTTCTAGTTGATGTCCGTGTATTTTATAATATTCTGACGCACCTCTTAATGTGTAGCATGTATACCATTTGTACCCAAAAATAATAATTCTACTTGCTACAATGGGTTGAGCAAATCCACGAGATCGCGAACCTTCATAGATCTTGCCCTTCGGGAACAAAAAACCTCAGGTTCCACTACAATATAATTGAATTCATAGGACACCAAAAATTTATAAGCGTCCTAATAAACCGTTTTATAAGACTAATTTATAGGATCAAAAAAAGTGTCCTGCCTAAGGCGTTATAATAAGTTTCTAAGACGTTTTTTAGACGCCGTAACAAGTTTTTTGTTAGTTTATAAAAACGTCGTATTAGCTATTTTATAGGACAACGTTCGAGAAAGTGTCATATAAAAATATGGGTTTATATTAGGAACTTTCTCAAAAATGTTCTATAAAATAGTTAATGTGATGTTTTGTATTAAAAGTATCTTAAAAACTTGTTAAGACGTCTAAAAGTGTCTTATAAACTTATTACAACATATTTAGATATAACGTTTTACTTATTGGTCCTATTAAATTAAGTTTTATAAAACAGTCTATTAAAACATTTATAAGTTAATAATAGCTTCTAAACCCAATCTATATAAAGGAGAATCATTAAAAGATGATATGACATCTTGATAGAGTTAGAATCATTAGTTCTATTTTTCTCCAATTTTTGAATTATTTTAAATAAAAACATATAATTAAATGAATAAACCTTTCATTTACTTTTTATATATAAGTTACACATAATCTAGTAAACTTTTAAATCTTCATATCTATAAATATATAATCTATATATCTATAATCTATAAGTAATAACCAAAAGATATGATATGGCACAATGTGGATTGAGGATTCCAAAATATTGAATTGTAGTTAACTTTGTCCATCTCATATTGATGAAAAGATGATATGTTGGAACATTAGGGGTGATTATATAAAGAAAATGATGACAACTTTTTCTTTACATGGTTTTTTATTTATAATTCATTTTGGATTAAATAGTTAATTTTAGTTACAATTTTCTTTGTGTTGATTTGATATTCTACTTTGTTATACAACTAATACAATACGCTTATTTCATTTCTTTTGTTTATCTTTGTATATATGAAAGTAAGAACCAAGAAAAATGAAATGATACAATATGGATTGAGAATTCCAAATTATTGAATTATGGTTAATTTTGTCTATCCATTGATATAAGCTTTATCTTTATATATATATATATATATATATATATATATATGTGTGTGTGTGTGTGTGTGCGCGCGTGTGTGCGTGTGTGTGTGTAGGGACGGGTAAATGAAATTAAAATTAATATATAAATAAGATTATAATCAATGTACATAATTAAATACTTATTATTAACTCTCTCATTAGTAAATAAAATACTTATTACATTTAATATCACTTAGAAAA